TTATAGAAGTAATACATTTTAAAAAGACACCTACCTCCTACATTTTGGAGTACCTGGTTTGCTTCCTGGCTCAGCCGTTGATTCCTGCTCCCTGCTAATGGGCTGTTGGAGGCAGTAGTCATGGTTTAATAATTAGGTTCCTGCTGCCCACATGAAGACCTGGATTGAGTTCCCAGCTCTGTGGCTCTGACCCAGGCCAATGCATTGCAGACAACTGAGCCGTGAACCAGTGGAGGCAGCTGTCATTGTCTCACAAATAAAAAGAAAGAAAAAGAAAAAAAAAGAAAAGGCAAACAAAGGTTCTGCTTGTCTATTGCTGAGTAAAACTCAGAATATAATAGCAGGGCATCACCTATGTCTTCCTTTGCACAGCTTTTCCTGGGCTGAGGGGAACGAACCTCTTCATTTTTCTCTTCAAGATACAGCCCAATTCAATGGACGAATTGGGATTTTATCCATGAGATCAAGAGATGTCAACTGAATTTGAATTGTGGTAACGCAGCAAGGTGGAGAAATCCACCATGAGGAGAGGGTTCGGGGAAGGGTGGGGGGAATCCCAGTGCCCATAACACTTTGTCACATAATGCAATGCAATTAATAAAAAAAGAGATGGGGGGGGCTTGGGGAAGCAGGGCATAATTATAGCCAATTGAATCTAAGGGATGACATTTGGCAGCACAGCCTCAAGACATTTTAATTGATTTTCTTGGCAGCTTCTGTCTCATGGCAGATCTTCTTGACCCACTGACAACCCAAGGTTTTCCTGAACATTCCTGAATGGCTCATGTTAAAGTTACCTCCTCAATACCTGTCCTCATTATGCAAATTTCTGTTCAGAATATTTCAAGTGTAGAGAAGCCCAGCCCAAATCCTTGGGTTATCAAAAGAATGTATAATCAATTGTGTGTATCATCATGGGGCAAAAATTAAAGAACTGTATTTATCTTCACAGCATTCCCATGAGTTTAAGCCAGCTGCAGTACAACCATCCCAGAGAGGGAAAACAGAATTTAACAATGTTTTTATGTTAGCTCTCACCTAAATCTATAGTGATCACCATAATTATATTCTGCTCTCCACATACCACCAAGTTAACAGTAAGAGTGAGTGAAACCCTTTCTAGTATAGCATTCTCTGGCATTCCAGTAGCTACCCTTTTTGGCTTCCCTTAACCAGTCTATTTTGTCAAGCTGATGCCTACATGGTACCCAAAGCCATGGATTCCTTATGTCAGAAGCCAGGTCACGACTGGTGGTGGTCCCATGGGTCCTCTTGGGTCCTTGGACTATGTTTGTTCCAGTAACCTTCCTACCGTGGTTAGGTCAAGTGTCAACTGATAGCTTTGTCTCTTTGCTCTTGGAGTATCAATATGTATTGGGCATAAACAAACCAGGCACTGTTCTTGGCTACAAATAAGGCAGAGTCCATTAAGGAGGCTCTCAAGGGAGGAGGGGTGAGGAGACACATTACAAATATTAGGAAGCAGATCATTTACCTACTAGCAAGTACTGTGGAGAAACCAGCATGAGAACAGGACGTACTGAAAGTTTGTGTTGTTTGATAGAGAGAGCTCTGGAGGGGTGGGCAGTTCTGTGAGCTGTCCCAAGAAGATAATGCTGAGTTTCCAGCAGCTGGAGACTCGGTCAACCTATGTAACTACTTGAGGAAGCAAACCTGGGACTCAACTACAAGAGGAGATCCTGGAATCTCCCTGGCTGGGCAGTGCTGACTGAAAGCCAACAACTTCTGATCCTCTGGGTGCCTGTGAAGATCAGTTGTACGGTGCTAGCTCTTGCTAACAGGAGGAACTGCAAGAGCCCTGGGATTTATGAGTCCCTCTTGCTTGCTGGCAATATTTATGATCCCTCGAGGAAGAAGACAAGACCTCAGTTACTAAACATCCCTGAGGCGATAACGTTACTTACTTGCGTCATTCAGGAGAAAATACACATTCTTGTCTGGAACCAGGACCAGTTTTTAGAGATTATAAGCAGATTGTTGGCTGAAAGTATGTGACCTAAAGTGATGGGGTGGAGGAAGGGGTGTAAAGGTGGGCAGAAAAAAGAGAGGAGTATAAATAAATTCATGCCATCTGCTTCTTAAAAGTCTGTACAAGCAAAGGTATTAAAAAAAATAAATCCTGCACGATGGGTAAGCTTTGGCTGCTAGTAGCTATATACCAAAGCAAGTCAAAAGCACAGTGTTGCTTTTGGTAGAGAATCCAACTACCACATTTGTGGCAGCAGGAAAGGATGGTATTCATGTGGCAGAAATTCATCCTCAATGTGAAGAATTGGACAAGTAACTGGCAGGCCATGTGTTTGAGCCCCAAGTCCATCGTATGAGGAGCAGATATGAAAACAACTTACCTTACCTTCAAAGATTTTGAACTCCAGAATTCTTTAAATTTCTTATCTCTTGAATCTTACAGAACTGGATGTTGCACTTGAGACCCCTGAGCCCTTGAGTCATCTTATATTCCAATGTGTCACCCTGTTGTCTTCATGTGTTCCTTATCCTGCTTGGGGTTCTTGGTCATTTTGTTGAACACTGTGCCTGTTTACCATCTGTCCAGTGTCCTCTCAACATTTTCTCGTGCCAATGACAGGCCCCCCAAATCCCTATCATTCTATGCATCAGTTCATATTAATGAGCTCCCCAGCATTGCTGGAGTGACAAAACTAGGTTGGTAGTTTTGTGTACAGAGGAGAGGTCCTTACTGTTCCTCTGTACATCATTTATTTGCTGTTAAGAACTTGTCACATCTCCCAAATTTGCCTTTTCCTTGTCATTCCTAATAGTCATATTAAAATAATTAAAACATAGGCTTTGTAACAAAAAGTTCTGGAGTTGGGTCCCAACTACCACTTACTAGCCTGTGACTTTGGGAACTACTAAACCCTCCAAAACCCTCCAAACCCTCCTTAGGTCTATTTTTCTTAAGTTTGAAAATGAAATAAAAATCCTAATTTTGCAGAGTTACAGTAAGGGTTAAATGACTGTTTTATGGTATCTTGAAAGATTTATGCAAATTGTGAAAAAAAAAACAAAACAAAATTATACACAGATTTCAAAACTTTGTTGTTCCCTAAACTTTTCAGCTGTTTTCCCAAGAATTCCAGATGTTAGAATTACTTAAGACACAGAGCTCTCATGTGCCGGTTCTTCTTTCCAGATGCCCATTGTGGCCTGTGTGTGATCTCACCCAGAAGCTGGGAGTACAATCCAGGTCTTCCGCGTGGGTGGGTGGTACCAAATTACCTGAGGCATCATTGCTGCCACTCCATTGGCAAGAAACTAGAGTCTGGAGCTGGAGCTGGGAAGTAAACCCAGGTACTATGATGTGGCCAAGTTGGCTCTTCCCTCTAGCAGACAGCACTTACAATTTTATCTCCTCTCCTCTATTTAGTTCCCAAGATCAAGTTCTTCTCTAACAACTTTGGCAGACCGGATTTGATTGCTAGCTCCAACTCCTGACACCAGCTTCCCTTGGGAGGTGGTGATAATGGGTTAAGGATTTGGGTACTGCCACCCATGTGACTGCATCCCTGGCTCCCAGCTTCAACCCCAACCATTGCAAGCGTTTGGGAGTGAATTGGCAGGCATGAGCTTCTTCCCAGTGGTCTGTTTTTGCTTTAAGAGTTAAAACACACAGTATGCTCATTACACCACCCTTGCCTTGGCCCTCATTACTTCTTAGGAAAGCTGTGCCAATCACTGGTCACTGCTGAGCCCCAGCCTATTCCACATTGCTCTCCGACTAACCTTTACAGAATAGCCCTGAACTTTGAATGGCTGCCTGTGGCCCCAGTCTACCTTTGCTGCCTTACCTCACACTACATTAGCATGCTTCTTTTGCTGTTCACTTGGCAAAATACTCTTCTGGCCTGTCATTACACCAGTTCCTCAAGGTTTCAATTTTTCACAGGTGTCCCTCACTGAAAAGTGTCTCTGCCCTGACTGAGCATTGTGGAATTCACCACTTCACTCTGAATTTTATTTGCAAACATGTCATATTCATAGCTAGAAGATAAGCTTCTCTTTAGTTCAAAGACTGACTTCATCCTCCAGCTTACTATTTTTGTTATTCTCAAAGGCATTAAAAATAAGTCCTAAGGGAATGAAAACCTGAAATAACTTTGGGAATCACATTCCAAATAAATAGAGCTGAACTGGTACTTTACCACTCTAGAATGCTTTTGTCTGCCAGTTTATTTCCCATCTGATGTGAAAGTAACATCTTTATCGGCCTCCACTTGGAAATTTAAGTAGTTAGCAAAAGCATTTACTATCAGTATTTGTTTCCAAAACTCATAAATGAAAGATGGTACTCCCTATAAAAATGATGCACAGTAAGTTCTTCTCTTGAGTTGGTGTATTCCAGTGATATATTTTCAATGTCAGAAAATTTTTTGTTACTAGAAATAAAACTTAGGATATATTCCAGGATATTGAACCTTCTTTTGATGCTGTTATTTTCTTTCCCCTCCTAGTTTATACCAGTTGCACTTACAGTTGCTGTTTCTTGTTCAGTATCCTGAAGACCATGTAGCAGTTTTAAGTATAAATATTCTTTTCATTTTCAGGGATTCTGTAGCTGGGCATCTCTTGTAAAAACCTGTTCCAGAATCAATGTTTCAGCCCTCTCGACCACCAAGCCAGCACCAATGAGTCATCAATAACTTATGACTGATTTTATTTAAAATTAACTTGGAAGAGACTAGTTAACCTAGGTATTCCTAGATGATTTTGCTGAGATTTTGTACTAGGTACTGTTACAAAGTACAGTACTTTTAAACTGTAGTAAAAACAGGTGGAATTTCCCATTTAAATCATACTAAAGCATATACAACTTTGATAATTATTAGTACAGTTACAATGTCATACATCCATTACCACTGTCTAGTTCCCAATCTTTCATCATCTCAAAACACCACCTACACACGAAGGAGTCATTCTTCCCTTCGTTAGTTGCTGATAACCAACTGGTATTTTTTTTAAATAATCCATATAAATTGGAACATAAAATACATGGCCATTTATATCTGGCTGCTTTCATGCAGGATTCACTCCAACACCAACATTTAACATGTCAATCATCTCATTCCTTTTTATGGCTGAATAATATTCCATCATAAGGACATACCATGTGGTGTTTATCCATTCATTAATTGATGAACATTAGGCTATTTTCACTTTTTGGTTGTTGTGGCTAGTGAACCTGTGAACATTTGAGAACCAGGTTTTGCTTGAGCAACTGCCAACTCTTTTGGCATATAAGCAGGCCTGATATTACTGGTCATGTAACAGTGCTGCTTAAGAAAAGTCTAGGTTCCAGGAATTTACATAATAATGCAAATAAAACCTCATAGTGGCTCTAACTCTAGCTTTTGGGAGTCTCATTTCATTTCATAAAATGTAGCAAGTTTTTGTATAAGTTAGTCATTTTCTTATGTAAGCATACAAATTACCTGGGAAGCCTTTTAAAAAATGCAGATTTCTAAATTCAGTGCCAAAGATATAATTCAGTAGTTCTGGATGCTGAGCAATTGTATTTTTAAACAAGCATCCTGGTTGAATCTGATGGACATGGTCTTCCCACTTGAGAAATTCTGAACAGCTCTCTCACAGCTGAAATCAAATTAGGCAGAGGACATTAAAGGAATAAATTGCAACTTCCCTGTCTTCTTAATCTTCAAATAAACCCTTAAACTTAAAATGGACATATAATATGATAGAATATATTTGCCAGGAGAAAAATTCAGTTTTTGTATAGGAAACATTTTTTTCCATTTTACTAGAAGTGTGACCAAGAAGAGACATGTCATGTTAGAAGTAAAACTCCACAAAAGTACCATTCTGAGGACTCCTACCATAAAAATGTCAACATTAATGGTTAAATATTGCTTTGGCATCTGTTGGTTTTTTAAAAAAAGCTCTCAATCCAGCTTATTCTTTGATAATCATTTTTAAAATAAGAATTCTGTTCCAATATGAAACTAGCTGCTAACTAAATTGAATCCTTTCCTTGACGAGGCATCATATATTCACAGCTGTTAACATGAGATTTACTGAGCAACATTCCCCTCGGACCTATAGCTTTAGACTCGGGGGCAGGTGAGGGTGGGTCCTAAAAAGCCAACAGGCATTATTTCTAGATCTAGCTATTTAAGGGCAGCCAAGTTAATCCTGGAAGGTGGTTCTGCTTTCAAATATTTTAACTCATTTTGGCCCTTAAAAACAAAAAATCTTGAGCAATTTAGGAAGCTTGGTTTAATTAATCATATTTAACATAAGCTTCAGTTATTTTTCCTTTACATAAATCAACAAAAGCCCTGTTAATTACAATGTGAAGAATACTCTACAAAAAAAGAATTTCCATAGAAATGACAGTGGGGCCTTTCTCGTCACTGGGGGCAGCTGCTGCAGCTTCTTCTGCATTGGACAGCTGCAGCCTGAATGCATGTTCTTCATTATGATGATCTAGATTTAGGGAAGTACAAATCACAGCAAAAATTAAAGTTTTCATCTTTAATGAAATGACTTTGGAAATAACGCACATTTCCATGACACCAACACTACAGTTTTCGGAGTCACATTAAAGATACACAGAATTACATCCGTAATTAATATGAATGCCAACATTTCAAGCAGTAATTTCTGTTACATGGCAAACAAAATCAAGAAAGCAACCATCAAACAAAAGAGACCCATGGCTTCAGACAAGGCAAATCCCAGGATAGCATATGAGAACAGCTGCTGCTTCAGCGAAGGGTTTCTAGAAGAAACACAATACAGGACTGTTACTCTGAAAATAGTGGTCTTAACATGTTTGGTCAATGTCAGAGAATCAGGGGGCTTCTACAGGCATCTGTAAACTGGAAAGCCTTTAGAAGATTTACTGGGACCCTTTTTGCTGCTGTCTCTGCTATTCCTATCTCCCTAACACCAACCACGTGACACAAGGCTATGGCACTGTCTCCAGGTGTCATTTTAAGTGGTTAGCTTAGATTCATTAGAAAGGGTTCTGACAGCCTTCTTATCCCTATGAAAAATATGTTCTAAACCTTCTAAGACAGTTTAGAAATAAGACCTTAAGTCAGATAGACTTGCTGCTTTCCAAGAATTTGCTCTATTAATCATTCCCAATACATGTAAGGGTTGCAGATCCGGAACTCAGATTGCATTAAAGTTCATTTCCTGCCACTCACCAGCCACAACGCAAGGCAGGTGGTTTAACCCCTACAACGCTGGTCTTCAGAGTTGTTAGTGTTAAGCAAGATGATGCACAGAAAGCCCTCATAATGGAATGTAAGATGGAGCAACACTTAACAAATTAGCTACTATTATCTCACTAGCTTTCTAAGTTTCCAGCTATTTCTACATTTTCTACATTAACTTACTGGGAGAGGAATGATTACCTGGCATAACCAATGATGAGGCTGCCAAAAACTGTTCCAATACCAGCACCAGAACCAGCCACTCCTACTGTTGCGGCCCCTGCACCAATAAATTTGGCAGCAGTATCAATGTCTCTGCTGATTGCACTGGTCTGAAACTCCCTTCGGATTAGTTGAGACACACCATTCTGGGCCCCATTAAACACTGTAGAGCCCTAGGGAACAGGAAATAAAGGCAAAGGTCAACTCAGCATTCACACTTGTCCGTGATTTCAATTACGGTCAAAATGATAATTACTTCTTATTTTTGTAGCTGAATGTGAATAGGGAGTGGAATGGGTATAACAGGAAAGAAAAAAAAAAAATCAAGAGCTTATAATTCCAACCCTGTAGTTGAAAATCAATAAACAGTAATGTATGCTTTTCAGTGGAGCAGGTTTTTCAACAATCATGGCTACCATAATCTTAAATATAGGCAACTCAAACACTATCTCATGAGAACCATAGATTGAGTATAGTTACCTCATTTCTACTGTTACCACCTCTTACCTCTCCAGTCCTGGCCTCTGGCCGGGACAACACGGATGCAGAAATTGGTCTGTATGCAACTCTGGATCCAATTCGGATCTAGTAAGGAAAAAAAAAATGGTTCCAAGTTCAAGAATACAGGTGAGACTTCACTGACTTCCAAAGAATTAGAGACCTTCCTGTACTGGCTCTTCCCTTCGCTGCCATTGTCAATGTATGGAATTTTAAGAAAATGTCATGCTAATGAAACTGTCAAGCCTGCTATATAACTAATCTGTAATACAAAAAGCCAAAGAACAAAATTGGTCCCCTAACAAGCATTATCCTTAACATTTTAATTATTCTACTGCCATAATTCAGGTCAGAAACAAAAGCAATGAACACCCTAACTTCTTTGGTGGGTTCAGGAGGATCAGGCAAGCATTCCTGGGAGGGTCACACCTGTCATTTAAAATAGCCCGACAGTTTATAGCAACCCTCACCACCTCCCAGCTATTCCTGCATATCCATTAAACATAAATAAAATTTTAAAAGGGGTTTAATCAATTGCACACCAGCTTAATAACCAGAGAAATACTTTGGCCATAAGGACAGATTCCGCTCTGGCTTCCCTGCCCTTGACTGTCCACTACAGTAAGGTCACAGAATAACCCCTTCAGAAGCAAGTCCTGATTCTCTTAAAGACAAACCCTGCAGACGCACACGTCACCGAAAAGCCTACAAAATGATTAAGGAGGGAGAAAAAAGTCTGTATCCCACCGCAGGGCAGACGGTGGGCTCCCCCTCCCCCACGCGATTCCTCCGCCCACACATGGCGAGGCAAAGGCCCTCCCTCTTGCAGCAGCCAGTTTGACCTACAGCTAAGCACCGAGTGCACTACTGCAGACAACTAGGCCTCCCCGACCCCCCAGCAGCCTCAACAGGACCCCAACCCTCGCGTGGCCCCTAACCCGACGGCAACCCGCGGAGACAGGGGGATGGGTTGGGCCGGAGCTGGGAGGATTTGACCTACACGGAGCAGCAGGGGCCTGACAGCTAGGCCTCGGCTGTCCCGCAGCGCCCTGGCAGGGGGGCAAGCGGCAGTCCGAGACAATCCAGGACTCGGAGAACAGGAAAGGGCACTGGGCTAAAGGGCGAGGGCCCGCGGATCCCCGGGAGGACAGTGCCAGCAGGTTGCCCCAGTCAACCACGCGGACGCTGCAGGCCGGGAGGCCCTCAGGTACCAGGGCCAGCCCGGGCTACGCACCAGAGCAGGGGTGCAGGCGAGCTTGGCGCAGGCGAACATCTTACAGTCTTCGGGGCGGCGCGGCAGGAGGATGTGGGTGACAGGCGACTGGGATCCTCTCTGCGGGAGGCAAAGAGGCTTAAGGTCAAGTGCCCTCCAGGGGCCTGTCCTTCCCACCCGGGCCCCAAGGGTTCCCGTGCACGCCGTCACCTCGGGCTCCGTGCCCGCTGAGGTGGCAGCAGAATGAATGGGTCCCTCCTGAGCGCTGCTCCGCCCCGGCCAGGCCGGACTCCCGCGCCCTCCGCTTACCTTCCCCGGCACAGGCGGCGGCGGCGGCGGCAGAGGTCGAAGGAGTGGGGCTGAGCGCGCAGGCGCACACCGGCTCTTATCCGCGCCCCAGCACCCGGATGGAGAAGGCGGGGTATCAGACGCGCAGGGGGAGACGCTCAAGGTCACTTTGGAGTTAACTTTATTGGTAAACGGCCCGGAAGGACAAGGACGGCCGTCCGGTGTTGGTGGGCGGGGGAGAGGAAAAGAAGTGGAAGACCAAATTCCTCAGCGGAAAGGACCGCAGAACCTCTTTGGCGTTTGGTTTTCCCTGGCCTAAGGACGGTGGATCTTTTCCTTAGGCTGACAACCTGTGAAACCCGGCCTTTACTTCTCTGTAGGAACGCCTTTTCCGGTCCTCCCCTGTAGAATAGAACTGGAGTGCTGGCGTAGGAGAGGGCTCAAGGGGGTGTAGCTCACCACTCCAGGAGAAATTAGGGTCCTCAGTAAAGAGAAGTTTTATTCCCCTCAAATAATCCGCGACAGGGTCGCAGAAGTCCGACTAACCGTTACCCGCCCTAGAAGTACTGGGACAAGGGATGAGAAAGTTAAGACAGAGCTTTGTGACTTTGGACACAAAAGTGCTTTCCTATAAAGTGAGTGTGTGTGTGCAGTGTTTATCTTCCAACCCTGTGATTGTTAGAATTAAGGGATTGCAGAAAAGAAAAGAAAAGAAAAGAAAAGAAAAGAAAAGAAAAGAAAAGAAAAGAAAAGGTGGGTCTTGCAATGTATTTTTTGTAGAATTCGGAACGCAAACTTATTTTGACCATTTTCAAAATTTACTCAGTCTTTTGAATTTGAGATTGTAAATGTTCTGTATTTTTGTTTTTCTGTGACATAATCACAAGATTTGGCTCAGAAAAAGGATATCACAGAAGAACATATGCAATGTTAATACCGGTTTTTACCAACTTTGGAGAAAAAAGCTTAAGGTTTATTTTGCTTCTATTTTAAAGGCAGAGTTACCGGGAGAAAGATACTATGTTAATTCCCTCCAGGTCTTCCATATGGGTGGCAGGACCCCAAGCGCTTGGGCCATCTTCTGCTGCTTTCCCAGGCACATTAACAGGAAGCTGGATCAGAAATGGAATGCCCATATGGGATGCTGGCATTGCAGGGCCTGACTTAACCCATTAGCCAAATTACAGGCCCTCAAAATGTTTTCTTAAAAGGAATGCAGAAAGTAGCTGTTACTAAACCTGTTTTTTTCTTAGCTCCTTGAAAATTTCATTTAATCTAGTAGTTCTGACAAATTTCATTTAGTTGTTCTGACAAATGTCTACTACTTCCAGTAGCATAAGTCATCATAAAAGGTTAAATTTTTAGGATGCCCAGCCCAGCCCAGGAGATGGCTGGGGACCAAGCTCGATCCTACACTGCCAAGAGCCCTGGCATGAGACATCAGTCTAGAAGATCAGCCTTGAACTAGTTACCACAAGAGGGCATGAACAGAAACCCTGCAGAGGATGCTCTTAGAACTGAAAATTGAAAAATTAGGAAAACCTTGTCACTGATTCAACCTCAAGTGCAAATTGTTCAAAAATTACATGACTTTAATCATTTTAAGCTCAGTCTTTAGCCCCTGCCACTACCTCACCCACCCCAAATAGAGAAAATTCACATGAATAAGAGAGCTCAAGTACTAAATTCTAACCTGCAGTTATGTGGTGGCTAAGTGGAACAAGCAATAAGGCCTTGGGCTTCAACAATAGATTTTTTTTTTTTTTAGAGAAAAAGTTATTCTAAGTGGATTTGTGTGCAGAGGTGGTTTAAATGACTTTCCTACTTATTCAGCACTGAATCAGTGGAAGCCACAGTTGAAGAGGAAGCGAAAGAGAAGCTGGACTCTCTAGCAGGGTTGTTTCCAGATGGCACATGATCCAGTTGCCTCTGCTAAGGAAGACGTTGAATGTCTATCTCTAACTCCAAGTCCTGCCTGTCCTGTTGTGTTGAGGGCTCTCTCTGTAGCCATGCTGCCATAGTACTATTCTAGATAGATTTGCTTAGTCTTTGTTTGCTTTTTATTAACAGACTTTTTGTTAACAGAAGGTGGGGAGTAGATCTTTTTTCCTTTTTCTTTTTTTGCCAGTAAATATTGTTTATTTAAAAGGCAAAATTGTCGAGAAAAAGAAAAACCTTCCATCTGTTGTTTTGTTCCCCAAATGCCAGCACTGCCAGAGCTGGGCCAGGCTGAAGCCAGTAGCCCAGAACTCTATCCAGGTCTCCTACAGGACCCCAAACATCTGGACCAGCTCCTGCTGCTTTCCAAGACAGATTAGCAGGCAGCTGGCTAGGAAGTAGAACATCCAGGACTCAAAACAGCGATCAAATGGGATCAAATAGGATGCTGGTGTTGCAGACAGTGCATTATGATGCTATTCCTGGGAAATGGATCTTGGATGTTGGAGAGACATCCATGTTGATTTGAGGGGGACATCTGCATAGAGAAAACTTAAAGAAAAAAGACACCTTCTATGAGGACATAAAGAACAAGGGCCCTGGAATTATCTCTGTATACCCATGGACTCTTCTGTGTGTGTGTGTGTGAGGACAGTCTAATAAGTTATGATACATTATAATTTGACAATAAATGACAAGCCTGCATAATAGCTTGGTGAAGAAAGGAATGAGGTTAGTGAAGAGAACCATGCTAGAGAGAACTTCCAAATACAGCCCTGCTTGCCCTTTCACACTGATTTCAACACTCTTCAAGAGTAGACTCTACTTCACCTCTTATTTCTAGGCTGGCCCTATGACTTGCTTTGATTGAGACAATGCATTGGAAATGAAGCAGTGTGGTTTCTGGGCCTACATCCCAAGAGACCTTGCAGCTTGCGTTCTTTGGAGAAGCCAGTCACCATATATAGACATGAGTCACGTGGCTCACAGAAAAGAGCCTGTGAAAGAGCAGAGGCCATCTAGGATTTTCTGTCAAGCCTTCCCTGTCTCCAGCAAGGGGAATACAATTAAGCCATTACCAGCCACCTTGGCCCACATTCCTGATTCAGAATCATCAAAGCGTTGTTGAGCTATTATATTTCAGGATTGCTTGTTGTGAATACATAGTTAAAACAGGAAATGTGGAGACAACAGCATTTGAATATGGGAAATGTCCGTTTTCAAAGTGTAGCCCATAGCAGAGCAGATAGAAGCCTGTGTCTTCCTGGCTCCCCTTGCTTCAAGTACTAAAGCAGAGTTATGCTGAACTTTTTAATGCTAATTAATCTAGCTTCAGGGAAAGGTTTGTTTTTTAAACTGATGAGTTTTGATTTATTTAAAAAATTAAAAAGTTCATTTTCATTTTATTTGAAAGGCAGAGTGGTAAATCTACTATTTGCTGGTTGACTTGCCAAAAACCTGCGACAACCGGGGCTAGGGAAGGCCAAAGCTGTGAGTCTGGAATTACATCTGGGACCCAAGTTCAGGGACCCAAGTATTTGAAATATCATTTGATGACTCCCAGCGTGTGTGCATTAGCAGGAAGCTAGATCCAAAGTGGCGTAGCTGGGATGCATGCCAAATGCTCTGATATGGGGTATAGGCGTCACAAGTTCTGACCCCCAAATTTAAATTTTCATAGCCTGTGAAATTTCCACCATCCTTCGCACACCACTGTGGTAAGAAAATGTGGTAAGAAAACATAAGTTACTTGTTAAAGTGAAACAAATTTTAAAATATGCTCTCTGTTAGAACATATCATTTTTCTTACACAAATTTTTATTTCCTACTATGGACTTCAGTTTTGGTATTGGTTTGTCTTTTTAATAAAGTCTGCAGGAGTAGGCAGCTGTGGTCCTGCTTTCCTGATTGGAGAGCATGGGCTCATAAGACTGCAGCTTCCCATTACCCCACACCCTGGGAGGGGGCAGTGATGATGGCTGAAGTAATTAGGTTCCTGCCACTGGCATGGGAGGCTTTGGATTGAGTTTGCATTGGAGCCATTGCAAGCATTTGGGTAGTGAATCCCACAGAATGCAAGCACTCTTTCTCATCACTCTCACAAGTAAGCACATAACATCATAAAAAATAATTTCTGAAAAATCCCTAAGCCTGCACTAATTTTTTTTTTTTTAGATTTATCTTTATTTATTTATTGGAAAGTCAGATATACAGAGAGGAGGAGAGACAAAGAGGAAGATTTCCACATGTTGATTCACTCCCCAAGTGGCTGCAATGGCTGGAGCTGAGTCGATCTGAAGCTAGGAGCCAGGAGCTTCTTCTTGGTCTCCCATGTGGAGGGCAGGGTCCCAAAGCTTTGGGCCATCCTCGACTGCTTTTCCAGGCCACAGGCAGGGAGTTGGATAGGAAGCAGGGCTGCTGAGGCAAAAACCAGTTCTCAGAGATGAGGAACAGCCATCTAATATCAACCCAGGGTGGTGCATATTCCAAGGATTCTGCTTAAGTTGTTTCAATAGTTCTGAAATGCTATCATTCTTGCTTGATCCAAGGATGAGAAATCCTTCTAATGTCCATTGGCTGACACAGTCGGCCTTAGAGTCTCCATTCACTGAGATATTGTCTGTCATCACTTGGCTGGAGTAGTTGTCCAATTTGTTCTGCCCTCCTTCCTCTGCTATAGTAACAGATATCATGTAAAGGCCCCAGTGGGCTGCCATAGCCTCTGTGTCCATCTGGGCTCCTTCTTTTCCACTGATGAGGCCCAGTTCTGACACATGCACTCTATAATCACAGGACCAGTCCTAGATGTCAGCCCTCAGGTCCCTTCATGTCCTCACCTGTGCCATCCCCCAGACCCACTGCAACCCCACAGTCAAGTGCCCATAAGAATGCTGTCGGGTGCGCCAGTGGGCTTTGCCCAGCACAATTGGCACCCCAGGCCACCCAACCCAGGCCCTGCTGGACTCCCACACTTGGGGCTCATGGACACACTGCTCAGTCCATCCACTGTATAGGTGGGCTAAAGGCCCTAGGCCAGGTGACTTGGGCTCCACCTCCAGGGCTGACGAACTTGACAGCCACCCCATCCCCCGCATTGAGCGTTAGAAAGAAAAATAGAATAAGATAGGCAACTGCTAGCACTCTGCTATGGTTAACACAGTT